CCAGCAACATGGACCGTTGACCACCGACCTGTTGAGGAGATAATTTCCATGAGGTCACCATTACATTTTTCCCAGTAGGGGGTGGATATAGTTGGCCACTTACTTCAAGGAAACGACCAAAAGAAATTTCTCCTAGTAGTAGTTGATTTTTTCAGCAAAGCGGATCGAGGCCGAGGGTACTCGTGTCTCCTAGTAGCAGTTGGTTTCTTCACAAATATTTGTTGCAGGTATGGTGTCCCGAGGTTACTCGTGTATGACAATGGAATCCAATTCAAAGGTCAAAAGATAATGGTCTGGTGTGAGGTCATGAAGATCAAACAACACTTTGCGTCAATAGCCCATCCGCAAGTGAATGGACAAGCCGAGGTCACAACATGTCAATACTAAATGGGTTCAAGGGGCAGTTAGAGAAGGTTTTGGGAGTTTGGGTCGATGAGCTCGACTCAGTTTTATGGGCTCATAGGACCACACCCAAGAACTCAACAAAAGAAACACCATTCAACATGGTATATGGTATAGTGGTTGTTATATTGGTCGAAATTGGCATCAGTTCGGTGTGGGTGTCCACGTATGAGAAAGAAGAAAACGTCGAGTTGCAGAAAGAGTCATTGGATCTAGTGGACGAGCTCCACAATCAGACCAAAGATCCGAACAGAGGCGTATAAACAGTAGATGAGGTATGTTCATGATAAGAAGATTCGCGATCGCAGATTCCAGGTGGGCGACCTGGTGCAACAAGCGGATGCACTAAAGCATGTCGTCATGCTCGAACCTAATTGGGAAGGGTCATACGTGGTCAGCGGGGATTTGTGGGAGGCACTTACGAGGTTAGAGATCCGCTGGGGAAGCTATGTCCCAGACCATGGAATGTGGCAATGCTTAAGTTTGGCTAGCTCGCTTTTACCTAATCAGTTTATTTATAAGTTTGTTCAGACATTTCAACTCGTTTATCAATAAAGTTCAATTTATTTTTACCAAGTATAGTGCAAGTTTACTTTCCAGTATTTAGGGGTAGAATCTCGGGCATGTAAGCTCAGAGACCCAATGTAAAATGACATAACCTTGAGTGGTTAGCTCGAGGGGGCCAGTATCTCATGTTGGGCAAATCCCGAAGCAGGTGAGCTCAAGGGCCAAAGAACAAGGGGAAAAATCTCGTGTGGTTAGCTGAAGAGCCAAAATATTCCAATGTCAAAGGGGAGAACCGCGAACAAATAAGCTCAAGGGCCCAAGGACCTCTGACGGTACCTCAAGTGGTTAACTCGAGGGCTAAATATTAGTTTAAAGTTTCTTTTTTTTTTTTTTTTTTTTTT